TGCACACTAAACACACAGACCCATTCTCTCACATGTGGGTCTACCAGCTTTCTCCTGCTTGATTTGAAGCCGCTAAAATTTATGAGTACAGTGGTCCCTCGTTTATCGTCGTTAATCCGTTCCTGTAAGTGCGACGATTATCGAAATAGACGATTTTCGAATCAATTTTCCCTATAAGAAATAATGTAAATACAATTAATCCGTTCCTGACACCCAGAAGTATTAAAACAAATTTTGTTTTACATGAAATATAGATGTAGTACATAAACAATACAATGGGACATGATGAATGAAACATTAACAGCATAACACTTACCTTTATTGGCGATTCTTTTTAGTGTACAGAAGACTGGAGGAGGAGAGAGATTGGATTAGTTACTGTTTGGAAGGGGAATCCCCTTCCATCAACACCCACGTACCAAGTCCTTTTCTGGGGTTACTTCTCTTCTCTGTTTCTTAATGCCACTAGGACCAGCTTGAGTCACTGGAGTCCTGTCTCGCAAAAAAACTGTTCAGAGAGCTCTGTTTCTGGCGTCTCTTTAACACTTCCCTAAAATGGGCCAAGACTCTGTCACTGTACAAGTTGCCAATATGGCTTGCAACATCCCTCTCACGGTGATGTTTCTCCATAAATCTTTCTATCCTACTCTACATTTCAAAAATTTCCTTAATTTCTGAAGACACCTTCTTCCATCTCTCTTCCTGCTCCTCTGCAGCAAGATTCTGAGCTGCGATCTGTTGCTCTTCCTGCTGAAGCTCTTGCAGCTCCTCAGTGATTAGCTCTTCATTGTGGTCCTCCACCAACTCTTCCACATCCCCCAAACTCACATCCAACCCCATGGAACTCCCCAATGCCACAACAGAGTTCACAACGGACCTAGGCTCATCAGGGTGAGCCACAAACCCTTCAAATTCCTTCTTGTGGACACAATCTGGCCACAATTTTCTCCAAGCAGAGTTCAAAGTCCTGGTAGTCACTCCCTCCCAAGCCTTACCTATAATGCTTTCATATTGTTCAATGATGTTTTTCTTAAATTCAATCATATTTCTCACCTTCTTTACCAAAGTCTTGGCACTAGGAGCTTTCTTTGGAGCCATGGTAGCTTATTTAGCACTTGCAAGCACTAAAATGAATGGAATATTATGAAATATTTCGTATGAACAAGTGAGGGGACTGTCGCTCACTGGTAAACAATGGCACACTGGCTGGGAAGGGAGGCTGAAACGGCTCAGAGCTGTGAGTACGCATCCAGGACGAACAACGATTAACGAGTCAAAATACCATTTGCAAGCGAATGTTTGGACGAAAATAACTTGACGATTTCCGAAAAGGATGACTATCAAGCCGGACGATTATCGAGGGACCACTGTATATATACGTCAAAAATGGTGGCTCATAAGACGTATACATGTATATACAAACAAAACAGTCAGAGGGTTAAAGTCCTGCACATATTTTTCAGCCGCTTTGTTGTCTTAACTGGCAGCCTCACCATGCCTTACCACACTGTGTATGCCACAAGGATTCTTAACCCTTTCAGGGTCCCCAGGCCCCCTCCCAAACTTGTTCTCAGGGTCACCCACATTTCAAAAAAGAAAAAAAGATTTTTTTCTTATAAAAAGACAGAGAATCTTTTCCCAGTGATAATGAGACCAAAAGTATGAAATTCAATGGAAAACTTACGAAATTATGCTCTCGTGAAGTTAGCGGTCTGGACGATGTTTACGCATCGGTGATTTTGTCCACTTTGAGCCCTATTTTCAGCCAATTCCAGTGTACTAGTTGACAAAAATCATAACTATTTTGCTAGAATTCCATTTTTTTCTATCGAATGAGTACAAGAAACCACCCATTTACCGATTTCAACTATCCAATACAGTGGTCAGAATTTAGCAATTTTGACAATTTCACACAAATTTCAAAAGATGCCAATTTCCAAATAGGGTCCAGAATAAACAAGAAAGACTATTCCATATATAGTGGACCCTCACCTAACGATATTAATTGGTACCCGAGAACGAATATCGCTAGGCGAGTTTTTTAGCATTAGCCGAGGCAAAATGTTAGCGTTAAAATGTATCGTTAGGCGAATTTAACGTTATGCGATGCCATCGTTGGTCAAAGGTCCACTGTACTTGCAACATCTGCCACATTGCTCCCCTATCCACTCTATCATATGCCTTTTCTAAATCCATAAATGCAATAAAAACTTCCTTACCTTCATCTAAATACTATTCACATATATGCCTCAATTTAACCACTTGATCTACACATCCCCTACCCACTCTGAAACCTCCTTGCTCATCCGCAATCCTACATTCTGTGTTACCTCTAATTCTTTCAATTATAACCCTACCGTACACTTTTCCTGGTATACTCAGTAAAGTTATTCCTCTATAATTTTTACAATCTCTTTTGTCCCCCTTCCCTTTATATAAAGGGACTATACATGCTCTCTGCCAATCCCTAGGTACCTTCCCCTCTTTCATACATTTATTAAACAAAAATACCAACCACTCCAACACTATACCCACCCTGCTTTTAAGATTTCTGTCATGTTCCCGTCAGTTCCAGGTGCTTTACCCCCTTTCATTCTACGTAATGACTCACGCACCTCCCCCACACTCACATCCTGTTCTTCACTCCTAAAAGATGGTATACCTCCCTGGCCAGTGCATGAAATTACCACTTCCCTTTCTTCGTCGACATTTAAAAGTTCCTCAAAATATTCTCGCCATCTACCCAAAACCTCCATCTCCCCATCTACTAACTCCCCTACTCTGTTTTTAACTGACAAATCCATTTGTTCTCTAGGCTTTCTTAACTTGTTTAACTCACTCCAAATTTTTTTCTTATTTTCATTAAAATTTCTTGACAGTGCTTTGTAAGAACCTCTCATAAGCTATCTTTTTCTCTTTTATCACACCCTTTACTTCATCATTCCACCAATCACTCCTCATTCCTCCTACACCCACAAACTTCTACCCCACATTCTAACACTGCATTTTTAAAACTATTCCAACCCTCTTCAACCCCCCCCCCCCCTACTCATACTTGCACCAGCCCACCTTTCTGCCAATAGTTGCTTATATCTCACCTGAACTTATACACTTAGTTTATACACTTTCACCTCCCTCTTGCTTGTTGTTACCATTTTCCTCTTTTTCCCATCTACCTCTTACTCTAACTGTAGCTACAACTAAATAATGATCCGATATATCAGTTGCCCCTCTATAAACATGTACATCCTGGAGCCTACCCATCAACCTTTTATCCACCAATACATAATCTAACAAACTACTTTCATTACATGCTATATCATACCTTGTATTTATTTATCCTCTTCTTCATAAAATATGTATTACTTATTACCAAACCTCTTTCCACACAGGTATTTCCTTCCTGTTCTCTCTCCATTCATTCATTTATTCACTCTTTCTCTTTTACACAGGATTTTACAAGATTCAAATTAAAGGTCTCTCTCTCATGTGCACAAATACACACCACACAATTACACCACATACACAATAGGCCAAGTGTCTATCAAAGAGTTCCTCTGACAAATGGTAAACAAAATAAACTCATGTGACTACTGCAACCACAAATAAGTGATTAAGACGCGATCTTCTAGGGTGATTTTGCTATGTGGTGGATAAAGAACTGTGGCAATTTTATTACAACGCTGTGATTTTAATTTATGATGGTGTAACTAGAGGGGTAAAATAGCTAAACACCCATATAAGAAGGTTAGTATCTGCTAATGTCACTAACTACACATTGCTGTGCGATTAACAGTTATTTACTTATCCTACCTGTATTTACACTAATGTTGAATGTGTTAGTGACTCATATTAAAGTGTAGAAAGTACAGTAAGTAAAAAAAGTGAAGGGATAATCTTGTGGCACTGCCATGACAAATGTTTGTGTTTGAAATTCTGAGAGCCACCACAGTATACAGTTTATATATAAATTGATTATCAACAAGAGCGTCTCAGGAAAAGTAACAAATTAATTAATTAGTAGTTTCCTGGATACCAGTCAATACATGCAGTGTTTTCATATCCTTTGCATCATCAATACTAAAATGTGAGGATACCGAAGACAATGTTTATATACAAACTAAGAGGGACTCCAAGATTTATATATCCTTTGCTTCCTTCCGTATGAATAATCAGTGTTACAATGAAAGGAAACTGAATATAATGTGAATACAGAATCTTGTATATACTGTGCATCAATTCAGTTGTTAACTTTTATTCTGTGAAAATGAATGACTTGCATATTCTGTGTTGACAAGAACTGCCCCTGCCCCATCAGTTTATATACCCTCTGCATATCTTCCTTTGCAAAAGAAGGGTTAAAAAATGAAAGAAACCTGAATATAATGTATATATAATTGTGCATCAGTTTAATTTGTACAGTCTTATTTAATGACAAACAGTGAGGGTGGTGGTGCTGGTGGTTAAAGGTATTCAAGACACAAGCCTCTGACCACTCTCTGGTACATACTGTTATTTTTATTATTGAAAATACAAGGGAAATTATAATTTTAATTTATTCTTTTCTTGTAATGAATTTATTAATATGTACTAAATAGCTTATAGTATTTGCAAAAGCCTTACCCTGTCCTGCCAGCTCTGGCCTACTGCCCTGCCCTCAAAAATTAGGGAAGACTTATCCAAGAGTTATATGAAAAGTTAATTACTTAGATATATATGATAATTAATGGGTCAGAGATGTATTGTTGAATTATTATGTGACCTCTGTTGGTACAGCAAAATTGATATTCCAGTACACTGTGGAACCAAGGGTTCTGGAAAATCAGTGGTGTACCAGTAATGCATTTACTGTCAAAGCCAACAAAAGTAGAGAAATACAGGCAAAATTAATGAAAAAAAAAAGCTTGAATCTCACTATATTGAAAAGGAAACTAAGGCAACAATACTTTACCTTTCATTAACAATGAAAAGGAAAAAAATGGCATAAAGTGTACACTTACCCGGAGTTTCCAAAGGATTGGTCAGACCACTGGATGTCCAATCAAATTTTGCTGGGGGGATCTGTTCCTGGAAATCAATAACCCACTCTTTAATCCCAGTGCATGGCAAGCATGGCAGTAAAGTACAGTGTTCTATTCCCAGTTTCAAAAGTCATGTAAATTAATTATTTTCATACCTGCCTATGGAAAATAGAAAAGGGTGCTTAACAACACCCTTATTGCTAAACATAATGGGGGAAAATTCCTGGGTCTGCACCTTGATAGCAACCTGAAATTCAACACCCATATCCAACACACAAAAAAGTTTATAAAGCAGTTGGCATTCTCTCAAAGATATGTTACTATGTACCACAAACTTCACAACTTACACTATACTATTCACTGATCTACCCATAACTCACCTATGCTATTTGTGCCTGGGGTTCCACAACGAAAAACCACCTAAAATGAATAACAACACAACAAAAAGCCGTAGTGTGAATGCTCGCACAATCCACTGCTAGACAACACCCCCCCAACTCTTCAAAGACCTAAACCTACTCACTATACAAAACATTCACTCATACTATTGTGCAACCTACATTTACAGAACAATCAATTCTAATATAAATCCCGACCTGAAATGCTTTCTTGACAGTTGAAATAGGACTTATAGACACGATACTAGCCACAAAAACCTCTATGACATTAACAGTGTAAGGCTAAATCTTTTCAAAAACTCATTACAGTGAACCCTCACCATATGATGGCATCACCTTACGTTAAATCCACCATACGATACATTTTAACGCAAAAATTTTGCCTCGCCTTACGCTAAAAAACTCAGCTTACGCAATTCGTTCAAGACTCGTCCGTGTGGCCAGAGCGCGCTTCAGCTGTCCCATGGGTGCCAGTGTTTACAAGCCAGCCAGTGCGGTCGCATCCACGCATACAATCGGAACATTTCATATTATCACAGCGTTTTTCGTGATTGTACCTGCAAAATAAGTCACCATGGGCCCCAAGAAAGCTTCTAGTGCCAACCCTGTGGGAAAAAGGGTGAAAATTACTATGGATATGAAGAAAGAGATAATTGCTAAGTACGAAAGTGGAGTGCATGTCTCCGAGCTGGCCAGGTTGTATACGAAACCCCCAATCAACCACTGCTACTATTGTGGCCAAGAAAACGGCAATCAAGGAAGCTGTTCTTGCAAAAGGTGCAACTTTGCTTTCGAATAAGAGATCGCAAGTGATAGAAGATGTTGAGAGAGACTTATTGGTGTGGATAAATGAAAAACAGATAGCAGGAGATACCATCTCTCAAGAGATCATATGTAAAAAGGCTAGGAAGTTGCATGACAATTTAATTAGAAAAATGCCTGCAACTAGTGGTGATGTGAGTGAATTTAAGGCCAACAAAGGTTGGTTTGAGAGATTTAAGAATTGTAGTGGCATACATAGTGTGATAAGGCATGGTGAGGCTGCCAGTTCAGACCAAAAAGCGGCTGAAAAATATGTGAATTTAGTAAGTAAGTAAGTAAGTAAGTAAGTTTATTCAGGTATACACAAATACAGTTACATAGAATTATCATACATAGCAGCATATGTGTAGAGAACCTAGGATAACCCAAAAAAGTCAGACAGAGTGACTTATTTCCATTGGGGTCCTTTATTTCCATTGGGGTCCTTTAAGGAATTCAAGGAGTACATAGACAGTGAAGAAATGAAACCTGAACAAGTGTTTAATTGCGATGAAACAGGCCTGTTTTGGAAGAAAATACCAAGCAGGACATACATTACTCAGGAAGAAAAGGCACTCCCAGGACATAAGCCTATGAAAGACAGGCTTACTCTCTTGATGTGTGCTAATGCTAGTGGTGATTGCAAAGTGAAGCCTTTATTGGTGTATCACTCTGAAACTCCCAGTGTGTTCAAGAGAAAAAATGTCCTCAAGGCTAATTTGTGTGTGATGTGGAGGGCAAACAGTAAGGCATGGGTCACTAGAGACCTTTTCTATGACTGGTTACACCATGCATTTGCCCCCAATGTGAAAAATTACCTCCTGGAAAATAAATTGGACCTTAAGTGCCTCCTGGTATTAGACAATGCTCCTGGTCATCCTTCAGACTTGGCAGAGCAACTTTCTGGGGACATGAGCTTCATTAAGGTCAAGTTTTTGCCTCCTAATACCACTCCTCTCCTGCAGCCCATGGACCAGCAGGTCATTTCAAACTTCAAAATACTCTACACAAAAGCTATGTTTCAAAAGTGCTTTGTAGTGACCACAGACACTTGATTGACTCTAAAGAGTTTTGGAAAGACCAATTTAGCATCCTCAATTGTGTAAACCTTATAGGTAAGGCCTGGGAGGGAGTGACTAAGAGGACGTTGAACTCTGCTTGGAAGAAACTGTGGCCAGAATGTGCAGACAGAAGGGATTTTGAAGGATTTGAGCTAACCCTGAGAAGTGTATGCCAGTTGTGGAATCAATTGTGCCATTTGGGGAAGTCCTTGGGGTTGGAGGTCAGTGGGGAGGGTGTGGAAGAGTTGGTGGAGGAGGACAATGAAGAACTAACCATTGATGAGCTGCAAGATCATCTTCAACAGCAAGAGGCCAGACCTGAAGAAACTGCTTCGGAGGGGATAGAGAAATTGAAGAAGTTGCCTACTTCAAAGATTAAGGAAATGTGTGCAAAGTGACTTGAAGTGCAAACCTTTATGGATGAAAATCACCCTCACACAGCTATTGCAAGCCGTGCTGGTGACTATTACAATGACAATGTTGTGAACCGCTTTAGACAAATCATAAAGGAACGGGAGGTACAAGCTTCTATGGACAGATATGCTGTGCGACAGAGGTCCAGTGACTCACAAGCTGGTCCTAGTGGCATTAAAAGAAGAAGGGAAGTAACCCCGGAAAAGGACTTGATACCTCAAGTCCTAATGGAGGGGATTCCCCTTCTAAACATTAACAACTTCCACACTCTTCCCTCCTCCCATCCCATCAATCATTACCAGATCTTCAATAAAGGTAAGTGTCAGTTTGTGTGTATTAAAATTAATATTTCATGTGGCAACATTTTTTTTTTCATACTTTGGGGTGTCAGGAATGGATTAATTTGATTTCCATTATTTCTTATGGGGAATATTAATTCACCTTATGAAAATTTCAGCATACGATGAGCTTTCATGAACGGATTATCGTATGGTGAGGGGTCCACTGTATACATAAAAGGGCCCAAAATCTGGAAAAAACTGCCAGAAATCTCTAGAACTGCTGGTTCAGCTAGCACTTTCAAAACTACAGTTAAAAAACAACTTACAATGGAACCTTGGTTTTCGTTTGCCCTGGTTTTTGTTGAATTCGGTTTTCGATGACCTTTTTTGTCAAAATATTGTCCCAGTTTTTGTTCGCCACCTTGGTTTTCGTGCAGGTACACATTAAAATCACTAAAAGTGTCCCTCTAGTCTTAATGCCATAGTAATACAATACGTAATAATAGTCACTCTTGGGCACATTAAATGTCTTACTTTACATCACAACACAATACAATTTTTATTTCTTTGCAAATTTACATTGAGATTCTTTAGTTACAATAATGAGCTGTAGGCAAAGAGAGCTGCTATCATGCCACAGTATTATGGGCAGACTAAATTAATATCTTACAGACTACTTAAAACTAGAGAAATTGATCATACAGTGAACCCCCGACTTACAAAGGCCTCATCTTACGATAAAATCGACTTATGAAGTGTTACAGCATAAAAAATTTTCCCTGACCTATGAAGAAAAACTCGGCTTACATCATTCGTCCCAAACATGGTCCATCTGGCCAGAGCGCCTCAGCTCAGCTAGTGCCATTGTTTACAAGCCAGGGTGGACGGTTGCACACATACATTCGATAAATTTTGTATTATTCCATTGTTTTTAGTGCTTGTAACTGGCTTATTTAGATAAGCCACCATGGGCCCAAAGAAAGCTTCTAGTGCCAACCCTGTGGTAAAAAGGATAAGAATTTTTTTTTATTATTTTTTATTATCACACTGGCCGATTCCCACCAAGGCAGGGTGGCCCGAAAAAGAAAAACTTTCACCATCATTCACTCCATCACTGTCTTGCCAGAAGGGTGCTTTACACTACAGTTTTTAAACTGCAACATTAACACCCCTCCTTCAGAGTGCAGGCACTGTACTTCCCATCTCCAGGACTCAAGTCCGGCCTGCCGGTTTCCCTGAATCCCTTCATAAATGTTACTTTGCTCACACTCCAACAGCACGTCAAGTATTAAAAACCATTTGTCTCCATTCACTCCTATCAAACACGCTCACGCATGCCTGCTGGAAGTCCAAGCCCCTCGCACACAAAACCTCCTTTACCCCCTCCTCCAACCCTTCCTAGGCGACCCTACCCCGCCTTCCTTCCACTACAGACTGATACACTCTTGAAGTCATTCTGTTTCGCTCCATTCTCTCTACATGTCCGAACCACCTCAACAACCCTTCCTCAGCCCTCTGGACAACAGTTTTGGTAATCCGCACCTCCTCCTAACTTCCAAACTACGAATTCTCTGCATTATATTCACACCACACATTGCCCTCAGACATGACATCTCCACTGCCTCCAGCCTTCTCCTCGCTGCAACATTCATCACCCACGCTTCACACCCATATAAGAGCGTTGGTAAAACTATACTCTCATACATTCCCTCTTTGCCTCAAGGACAAAGTTCTTTGTCTCCACAGACTCCTAAAGTGCACCACTCACTCTTTTTCCCTCATCAATTCTATGATTCACCTCATCTTTCATAGACCCATCCGCTGACACGTCCACTCCCAAATATCTGAATACGTTCACCTCCTCCATACCTCCCCTCCAATCTGATATTCAATCTTTCATCACCTAATCTTTTTGTTATCCTCATAACCTTACTCTTTCCTGTATTCACCTTTAATTTTCTTCTTTTGCACACCCTACCAAATTCATCCACCAATCTCTGCAACTTCTCTTCAGAATCTCCCAAGAGCACAGTGTCATCAGCAAAGAGCAGCTGTGACAACTCCCACTTTGTGTATGATTCTTTATCTTTTAACTCCACGCCTCTTGCCAAGACCCTCGCATTTACTTCTCTTACAACCCCATCTATAAATATATTAAACAACCACGGTGACATCACACATCCCTGTCTAAGGCCTACTTTACTGGGAAAAAATTTCCCTCTTTCCTACATACTCTAACTTGAGCCTCACTATCCTCGTAAAAACTCTTCACTGCTTTCAGTAACCTACCTCCTACACCATACACTTGCAACATCTGCCACATTGCCCCCCTATCCACCCTGTCATACGCCTTTTCCAAATCCATAAATGCCACAAAGACCTCTTTAGCCTTATCTAAATACTGTTCACTTATATGTTTCACTGTAAACACCTGGTCCACACACCCCTACCTTTCCTAAAGCTCCTTGTTCATCTGCTATCCTATTCTCAGTCTTACTCTTAATTCTTTCAATTATAACTCTACCATACACTTTACCAGGTACACTCAACAGACTTATCCCCCTATAATTTTTGCACTCTCTTTTATCCCCTTTGCCTTTATACAAAGGAACTATGCATGCTCTCTGCCAATCCCTAGGTACCTTACCCTCTTCCATACATTTATTAATAATTGCACCAACCACTCCAAAACTATGTCCCCACCTGCTTTTAACATTTCTATCTTTATCCCATCAATCCCGGCTGCCTTACCCCCTTTCATTTTACCTACTGCCTCACGAACTTCCCCACACTCACAACTGGCTCTTCCTCACTCCTACAAGATGTTATTCCTCCTTGCCCTATACACGAAATCACAGCTTCCCTATCTTCTTCAACATTTAACAATTCCTCAAAATATTCCCTCCATCTCCCAATACTCTAACTCTCCATTTAATAACTCTCCTCTCCTATTTTAACTGACAAATCCATTTGTTCTCTAGGCTTTCTTAACTTGTTAATCTCACTCCAAAACTTTTTCTTATTTTCAACAAAATTTGTTGATAACATCTCACCCACTCTCTCATTTGCTCTCTTTTTACATTGCTTCACCACTCTCTTAACTTCTCTCTTTTTCTCCATATACTCTTCCCTCCTTGCATCACTTCTACTTTGTAAAAACTTCTCATATGCTAACTTTTTCTCCCTTACTACTCTCTTTACATCATCATTCCACCAATCGCTCCTCTTCCCTCCTGCACCCACTTTCCTGTAACCACAAACTTCTGCTGA